CTGAGTCAAGATGAAACTTCTTTTTTGAGATTGTTAGTGAGTAGCCAGTGCGTACTTTAGCCATACATAAGAATCGTATCGCTTCTGTATGATATTCAAAAGCCGAAAATCAACTAGATAGATATTATGCGTCTCTGAAGAATATCTTAATTTAGGAGTGCACAATAAAATAAGATTATGTTGACTGGGCTGGCTTAGTATGGGGAAGGAAGTCTATTTAGGCTAATAGTGATAATGCTAATCGTAACATGTTTCCAGTTTTCCATGCAATGAGTTTCTGTCTTAGCTTTCACGTACACTCACGAATATTAGATCTGGCCAAAGTAACTGAATTTTTTGGGCAAAATTTAGTGAAAGTTTAAGCAATAAGTTGATATAAGAACCTAGATCAGTGTGGTAAACGTATTATGACAACGAAGAGCACTAAGAAAATAAGCCGTCAGATATTAAAGGAACCGTGAATAAAGCTCATGGCTTGCAATCAATCAGATTTCATGAAAAATACTGTGGCACCATGATGAGTACTATACTACCTCACTGGTTGCTTTGTGTAAGCAAGAGCTACATTACTCCTTGAGGGGTTCTTGTGAAGTTTTTATCTTCTTATATAATCCTGAAACCGACTCAGCTTACTACCTTGATTTTATTATCACCTTTAACTTCTCTTCTTGCATCTACCAGTTTAAACTAGTCAACTGCGGCATAAATAGTGCACATATGAAAGAAAATTTGTCTTCTAAATCACCGTTTTACACCTAAATTCGGTAATTCATCATACAACATAAGCTCTTGTTCTTTATCTTACCCATTATTTCATACTGCACACCCTACGAGCCTTGATACTACCCAACAACTATCACATGCTACATTTTTGTCTTTTTTCTTCAAATATGATATTATGAATACATAATATCAATACTACCACTAAGAACTTACATTCACCACTCTGTGGCTACTGCATCTTGTTGGTTTTTTCTCAATCCATCTTCAAAACCTAGCTGAGCATGTGCAAGGTAAAAAGTTTGCAGATTTTTACCAAGATGTTCAAGTCTGTCTGTGCCAAACTGTCTTCTAATCAGATGTCGCATGAAAAATAGGTTTTAGGTCTTTGTGAAATAGAAACGATAAAGAGGCCTGGAGATTAGAGACAGATGGGTTGTCAAACTGTCACTTTGTTCTAGGTATGCTTAATCACTGCGAACGGATAAAACTTATGTAACTGTGCTGCATATGAGATGTACCAAAAGCAGTCAAATACAATACCTTGCCGCTTATCGTAAGTTTTTCTCAAAACCAAGGATTTTAAATCAAATAATGTGTACTGTCCCTTTGATTTTGATCATCTGATTGCACGTTTAAAGCGCCATTTAAAAGTAACCAAAGATCATCCTCTAAAATGATGTCACATTAGTTCATATTTCGATGAGAAAAACAGGACTCAACACGAAGGTGATCCAATAGGGAGTTTTGAACTTAACGGTGGAATCCTTTCTGGTTATCGATCTCAAAAAGGATAAATAAATGGAAGACTTAACTGTTTTGCCTAGTAACCTTCGCCGAACCTGTACATTGGTCACGTGTTGATTCCAGTGTATGTGAGAAATGCTACAAAGACACCTGTGTTCAAAAGCCAACGATTTCTTAACATACAATTTCAGTGGCCATATTTCAGGAGATTATAACAGAACAGAACGGACTGCTGAGCAGTACATACATCCTTTAATAGGTAGCCGGATATCTCGCCGACACCAGAGATGATACAGCTTGGCAAACGCCAAACGGGTCTTCTGCACCCAAGGTGAGATTCCATCAGCAGCCAGCCGTTTCAGGGTGAAATAACTGCACAAGTGGGTGAGGTGGTCGATGCATTCCACCAATCCACTCCCAATCCTCAATCTGGGTGCAGCTCCGCACCAGTTGTTAAGCATCATCTCGCATTCGTTTGGCGTGAACTGCATGCCTACCGTACTCAGATTCCTGCTTAAGGTTTTCAGAAAATCATGTATTTTCAGCATCTTCACCCAACAGGATAACGTTGTCTTAGTAGTTTTAACTAACCAGATGCCTTGCAGAGACAGTAAATCAATCCAAGTGAAGTCATAAGTACCTTAGTTTATGTCCGGCAATACATCTACAGCAAAGTCAGTCGAGAATGCTGAGAGTCAGCATCTCTAGCAGACACCACTGGATATCGTCAATTCAGATGACAACTCTCCATAAGCCCTTACACGGCTGCGTCAGTTGCAATGGAGACGTTTATTAGCCTTATATATCTGCTCTTTACTGCCTTCACAGTCAGATGTCGTCACAGTGTCTCTGGGTTAAGGAGATCAAATACCACCTTCAGGTCCAGAAATATGACAAGTATCGGCCACCGGTCTGTATTCCCATGTTTCAGAACTTGTTGAAAAGTGAAAATTTGATCAATGAATCATCGTCTAGGCCTGAAACCTGTCTGGTATTCATGAGTTTGTCGTTCTTGGGCTCCAACTAGGCATGGGTTAGCTATGAACTTCAGGATCCAGAAACGACATCGGGCAAACTGGATTCTCTGTAGTTGTATCAGGAAGATTTCTCCCTCTACACTGGAGTAGTCAGTAAAGTAGACCAATCTGACAGGGCTACCTCCGATTCCCGTGCACTAAGCATTGCCTTCGTTATTTTACCCAGTAATTTCCTACTATCATCTTTAAGAACTTCTGGTGGCGAACTGCTTCGCATCTTCTCAGGTTCGACACAGTCTTCTCAATCTTGAGGAGAGTTGGAGGACTAGCATCTTCACCCTATTGAGGTTGGCTCTGGATGCTGGATAACCGATAGGTTGCTGTAGGCCAGATGGTCCTGGATGGACCAGCTGAATTGTCACACTTCATGAGGTGTTGGAACATAGGTACACTTACAACCAACCAACACTAGCTGTATTCGTGATGTGTAAACTGTAGAGTTCTTATGTCAGTGTCTCTCACTGGAAGATGTGTTTGTTAAGTGCATTGCTTTCTTGACGACCCTGTGTTTGAACATGTGTGAGCCTGTTAAGGTCTATTTTGAGGTAACTCACGCGTTATTTACTCCAAGTGGTTTCGATCTAAGATTTCAACTTTCTCCTAGTGTTACTCATTCCTTTGGTAGACATGGTGATGGAGGTCTTACTCTTCTCATCTGACCTTACTGGGATTGACCTTTCTACAGGAGACTCTTTAGTAGTCATATGGTATGTGGGTGATATTATCCTGTTGTGTGAAGACTATGGTAGAATAAAGAATCTTCTGAACACTAGGATAGGTTTTTCACTGGTGAGATGCAGATTGATTTTCCCGGATTGACCTACGTTGATTCTTGATCTAACAATTTAAAGTGAAGTCGCTAGACGCACTGACTACTGTACTTACGTAGGAAGTGTGACCAGCTCTGTTGGGTTTGTGACCGATAAAACCATGGTACCAGGAAAAGGTTTCGAATTACTTTTACCATCTGATGCCACTTATGGAGCGGATGAGATGAGCAACTGTCTACTAGGAACCGAATGTCTTGGTGCAGCAATTCGCTCTATTCTATAGGGCTGTGAAATATGCCCAATAGAGGCAAGGTCATGAAGAGGCTTCAGATGTACGATTCTGTTGCCTTTGTAGAAAGGTTCATATGTCGTGAAAGTCAGGTGTGGATTTCTACTTTAAATGTGAATCAGTTTACGAGGTTATAAACTCTCATCGATTAAGGTGGCTGTTACGCATGCTCATTCACTGCCTACTTTGTAGTGCAGAGTTAGCTAAAGCAGTTTTAGTCTGAAAAAAGGTTAAAGACTACCGAAATAAAACATGGCACCAGCCTATGAAGTCTCTGACTGTTGGTTGAACCGCTTCGGGTAATGTAGACTTCTCGAAAGGGTTCTGCGTGGCAACCGAAACTGGTGGTTGGAAATTGTAGGCGATGTGGCTTACGATCGATCTTAGCGGCACAGATTTATTCCCAAATTATCCTCATCTAAACCATCGTAGAGAATTTACTACTGGTTTGTTTCCTTTTACTCTCTTTTTACAACCTCCTAACTCTAACTACTTTCTCCCTTGTCTCTTTGTCTTTCATCTTGATGCCTTCTACCTTGGGCCATTATTCAGGTATTCCAGGTCTCACATAGATGCTGACAACCTGGCCTGCTGATGAAATAACTGTTAAGTGGTCTCGGGTTTTCAATGTTTCTTCAGTCTGTAACTGAAACCACTCTGTCACCAACCAATCCCTAGAAATCACCATTCGACTTATGATCACTACGTCACTAATGAGGAATTTTAGAAATGTTCACCTTGTATCCCCAAACTTATACATCTAAATTATGTAAAACAGTATCTTATGCCGACTTTTAGCTAAAGTTTAATTTTACGACTTATACTGACCTGCTGATAATCCCTTGATATCACAGCCTACCTTGTCATTCCTAATTAAGTGGTGGATTGGAATTTGCTAAAAAATATGCGATAGTTCTAAAGCAGCCTAGAAGTTTTTCTGTCTGGATTTCTCCTGGGATTTTAAGGTGTAAAACTGACCTTTTAACAAAGCAGAAAGCCCTTTTCAGCTTGTTTTTTAAATATAATACAGTGAAACAGTATTATTTACTGGATAACTTTTTGAACACAATTTATCATGCATATTTACTGTATGAGATGCTTTTAATAGACAAAGTAGGACGACACTTCTGCATAAGCGGTATGATCCAACAAGCTTATTAAGTCAGAAACTGTCAGTCATTAAATGACAAAAAATTACAAGATTTGGTCCTAAAAAAGTTGACTAAGGCAGTAGATTTCTGCAAGGACTTTATTCATGATCACAACTGTTCACTGGTTACGATATGCATATTTCCTGTAAAAATTTGACTACCCAAATAATCCTTGCTGAGTAATCATTTTTTCCGCGTTACTCATCTTCTTTTTTCAGTTTCCAGCTTCGCCTACTTCATCTCTCTACCTGCCCATGTAGTATTTATATAGAGATGTGGAGAGAGTATGTCAATATTTCGGAATCTTTTGTCATGCATTTCTACTGAAAATTTCGCCTCAGCCTATGTGAATAATCCATTACAGGCAAAAAACACCTTTTCCAATAAAACTTGTATTATATGCCATGAGTCAGTAGTTACTTGTTTAAACAATAGATCAAATAAATGTTACAAATATTCAAGTAATCTACTGGGTACGCCTACAAAACACGAACAGTCACCAGGACGTCAAAATATTAAGACAACTCAACCAGAAACAATGACGACAATTTGTGTCTCATGTACAGATGCGATCAATAATCCTGTAAGTTGACTCTTAGTGTATATAGCTTTGTGCTAACTGTGTTTCGATGCTTATATCTGTCATGTATATCTTCGTTTTGATGATTTAATGTGAGTTCAATGTTCAAGGGTAGTTGTGAGCTGATAAAGATTTTGTTTATTTAGATGCATAAATCATATTTTGTTTGTTGATTGGAATCATTTTAGATAATTCGCTTCCTAATTTCTAGAACTTTCCTTGAACTAAAGGAAGACTGAAACATCGATTGTTTCAATGTACCTTTTTAATAGGATACTAGAAGAGACTCATGTTTGTTAGTCAAGTGAACGAGTATTTAATTCATTGATTCCCTGATAGTAATACTCCTATTATGGATGTAAAATGATCAATGCTCAACTGAATATGATGTTGTCGGGTTAAAATGTATTTCTCTTCTGTTATCTTCTTCGTACTCAAATATGATCAAATTATTGTGATACGCGTCTTATTTACATTGTAGAAAACATATTTCATACTGTTTGTTGATATGCTTGTAGTTCTCCGCTGTTTTACTGGATCGAATTGTACTACGTCTATTGGCATATGAACTCCTATGAGGACGTCTAGATATTGCTTGAATATTTATTATGATAATTTACTAGTTTGTGTCTAGGAGAGGAATACAGGAAGCATTTTTCGTCCTATTTGGGACTCGTCTTGTATTCCTCTGCTAGCCCACAATCAAGTAAAGTATCATAACACTTCATACTTATTAATATTCTGTACTTGTATCAGTTGCCACATCATATCTGTTAGTATACTTTTACATATTATTCATATCAATTCTGAACTATCCATGTTAGTATTCGTATAGTAGAGAAGAAGCTGGGCTATCTGATCTTAACCAATACTAATACAACATATTATGGATGATTAGTACAAGCAAATGAAATGGTAATTTGATCTTCATATCACTTTAATCTGGTTAATAGGTGTCAAATAGACTAAATATTTATAACTTGGATATTCTGATTTCCAAATAAAACTACAAGCAAATCTCATAATGGTTTCCGCTAAAAAAGAGTATTTTCCAGGAAATTTGTGAATTTTGGAAAAAAGATTACTTCAATTTGAAACAAATTTACTTTGTTTATTAAGACTTGTAATTTCCCGTTGCTATACAGGTTGAATCGCTTGACTTCTGTTGGCAGATAGTCTTTTAAGCAGATGACTCAATACTACGGTTATTCATGACGTTGTATTCATCTTGATGACTAGCAGAGGAGCCCATCTACGAACAGAGGTCGAGTAGTTCAACCCTGCATAGGAACGAGAACTTACAAGTATCATTAAACAACAACTGAAACCCGTTGCACCCAGTGGCCTAGTGGATATCACTTTTGTATTTGAAGCGATGCCTACTGGGTTAGAATCCCAGTGGGAATAGCATCACTCACTGGGGTGAAGGTGCATCCGACTGACGAGCCTTAAGTAGGATGAAACGCACGTCCTGAATCCCACTGTTAGTCATGGAGTTGAATACATTTAATTTGAGCAATAATGAAACTTTCAAATGAATAACAGAAAACAGACTTTAATTTTTCATTGGATTCATGGATAAAATTATTTTTTTAGTTTGTCAAATGGTGTTAAACTTTTACTGTTTCTATACATTTGTGATACACCCACCAGCTACCGATACTTCAGTCACTAAAGTTTATCATTCTGGCTTTATACTCCAATAGTATGATAAGAGATAACCTATAGGATATGATTCAGCAGGCTGACTGGTTAGTTGTATGTGGTGCACAAATGAACAATTTGGCACCGATGCGGATTAAACTAACACTCGTAAGTTACAGTTTAAAAGTTTCTTATGTATAAGTGTTGTAACTAAAGTCATAGAACAAACATCATGAAGTTTAAAGGGTAACGTTAACGGCACACACTTAGGTAGCGTATGCAGATTATTATGATCATGTTACATTAATTGAGAACTGTTAGCACATGAGCTCACTAAGTAAGAGAGGTAGGTTACTTAACGAATCTATAATCATCCAACATTTGTGATGGGAACCCATTTTTCTCCAAAGATTACGAATTGAAATCGAAATCAACTCAGAAACCTTGTGGATATCCTGCAGTAGGCAATGGGCCACACCTATTATCTGAGGGCCAATGATAATATATGGCTTCTCGAATTCCAGTAGGTGGTGCGGGGTTCGAACCCGTGACCCAATGGTTGAAATTCATCTCCCTAATACAATGAACCACAGCTCCACTTCAAAGATTATACTATGTAAAAATAATCCCTGAAAACAAGGTCAGACATAAAGATTACTATAAGTTTGAAACTCATGATCCCATTTTTCGTATTTTCAGCCATTCATTTAGAAAAATTACCATCAAACTGAGAAAATCAGTGTTCTCTTTAAGAATGAAAGAAAAAGTAAGGAAAGATAGTTTTATCTCACTGAAGGATTACATTTTTCTTGTGAACTGATGGCTTAAATTTCAATGATCATTAAGTCTGTTAGTAACTGTTTCTCGATACCGCTGGAAAAATATATCTGTAGACCATTTTCTCGAAAATTCAGGTGATATGATGTCTGTATTTGATGAACAGATATACTGTACTGTGATCATATTATGTTTGGAATAAAAAACAAGCATAGAAATAGTATTCACTAGTTAGTTTGAGGTTTATGAGGATTTTATTTATTTCAAGACAGTATTCATCATGAACTGACACTAATTGGAAAACCGTTAAGAACCTTGAAGACTCTGGAAAGGTGTTTTGTCCTGGTAGTATGCACCTGCAACCCCAATGGAGGTCGAACCAAGAACCTTCAAGTGTCACGGCGAACGTATTAACTTTGCATCCACTACGTCTGAGTTGGATAATCCACAGTTTCCTACTTCTGTCGATTCACCAATTACATTCAATTTCACAAAACAATGTCATTTTTTCATATCCAGTACTTGGCCCATCATCTGAACCTTTGTTGTCGGTTTATTAACTACTTGAGATGTTTTTAACCTTCTTACTGATTGAATTGTAAAGTATGTATCTAATTTGGGAGTTTGTGGGATATTAATTGATTTTGAAAAAAAGTTTTCATGCCTAGTTTTGATCCATGATAAGAACTGCTTGGGATACAATCACTTCCCCTCGAACCTCAAAATCAAAAAGAATCCAGTGTTTGTTACTGACTTGGTTCGAAAGAGACTTCTAGAAATTCCAGTGAAAAGCCTATGGTGGAATAAGTTACTTATAGGAAAAGAGATACTCACTGATGCCATTGTTTATGGTTGTACTTTATCACAAATTAGCCGGAGTTGAAAAAAAATGTAAGCTTGTTGGGTTCGGAGTGATAAAAAGGTTGTTTTGAAACTTGAAAATCCTTAGCGTTCCAGTGAGAACTCTAAAGTTAAGTTGATAAACCTATCCACTACCACTCTTATTCAACGATTCCCTGACTGACAACAATTCATGACAAGGACTATTTTGAAATCATTTATCAGAATGGATGAAGTTGTGTTGAATGCAGAAATACTCGAATAGAAGGCAATATAGCTTGGTCTAGGTATTTAGGTAAAAGCCATGTAAACATTCAACTTTTTTTGGAAAGCTTGGATAGTCTTGTTTTAAGTGCATGAATTTGATCAGTAAGAATATCCGGATTGACGTTTCCTGCTTGTTGGTATTCATATTGACAACCTTGGGAATATGTGTTCCCTTGCTTTTTGGAACCTGATATCAAGCTATTCAGACTATAACTCATTCAGTAGGGGCTAGATTATCTATACAGGTTGCTCACTAGATGAAAAATAATTTTGCAACTAAGTTCTAAGTGCTGTTCGAAGCCCACTGGTCGAATATGTATTGTAGTCACTAAGTTGATTAGCAATTCCCCAGAATGTAAACTGCTTGTTGTCAGGCTTTTAGAGTCAGCTGACTGTCATCAGTAGTTCATTATTTTCATGTGTAACAATCCCCTGTCTCAAATGTTTATAAATCGCAAACATAGGATGGAGCTATTAAAAAGGATAACAAAATCTATGATAGCTGATTTTCTATGCTGTTGCACAATGGTCAGTACTCAATAACTGACTAATGGATTTGAGCTTAACAATGGTAATAATGAATAATAACGATAATAATAATCAGTTTGCTTTATTCCGAACAATAATTATGTTCATAGTACAGAATTCTCACTTTAATCATAGTATAAAAGTTTTTAATATATATTAACAATGCCGCTGTTTGACAATGCATAACAGAAAATAACATGATTGTTGAAATGCTCAGTGATTTAAGGGACATGATAACTGTTCGCTATTCCAAACTTGACTAATCAACCTATGCCTAACACGATGTCCTTCACATAAAACACAACCTAAATAACGTGGTTTACTTGAATCCTTGTATGTAGTTATGCCTGCATAGAGTTTCACATATTTACTTCGTGTCTTCCCAGACGACAGACATGCAGACAAGTGAGGATGCTTGTCATCAGATAAATACCGTAAGCCTGATATTTACGAGAGTTCACATACCTATCCTCAACTTCATTCATCAAGACGGAAAGTCCTGTACCACTCGCTCTACTAGCACCATTCAAAATCCTATGCAATACAGCATAGTCCTTCTTCTGGAGTCCAGGAAACAATAAGGGACAACAATAAGTAAGTATCGAGAAAAATGTGCCAATTAATGAAATATAAGAGTAGACACTGTGTTACACCAGACAGTCTGAGTTTACTCATATAAAACGTCAAGTGAAGGATGTTTCTCGAAATAAGTAAGACATGAAGAGACCAAGAAAGATAAGAAGAAAAGCATTGGTCAAGACACATCACGCTCGATACACTCTCTACAACAGAGCCAAATACAAGATGACAGTCATGAGACTGAAGCAGTTTACAAAGGTCTTGTTCACGTCCTAAGCTAAAATCAACTGTCTGTCATTTAGAGGGATTGAGTGTGAGGCCACTCAAGGGAGACCAGTGACCAATTTCGCTCGAGAAGTTATAAGACT